GAAGTTTGGCTCTTCAACTTTAAGTTTTCTAAACCAAAGTGTGATGCCGTCTTGGAGGAGTTGAGAGGCTTGCTTGGTGTCCGATTGTGATTCGGATGAGCGATGTTAATTCATGGGTTTTGGAAGATCTGATGCGGGAGAAGTTGAGAAACTTCACTTCTATGTAGCGGAGTTCCTCGTTGATCTCATGGTCTGTAGTGTCAAGTGGAATTCCTCGGATGATTAAGGTCTTCCTGGGCTCGTTGTCAGTAGGAACATGGGGCTTGATGGGACAACCGTTGAAAGCGTCCGTGGACCATGGTTTCAAGAGAGTGAAGTAGTCCTTAGGATATGTGCACTTGACGACTACGCCTCCTCTGGGAAGTCGGCGGATATTGTTGAAACTAATGTTCGGGTAGATACGGCAAAGTTCAGCGGCAACTTGAGGTTGTCTGAGGGCTGCCAGGATTCCTTTGATGATGATGGCGGGTGGGTGCGACGAGTCTTGTGTAGGGACGTTGTTCTCCAGGGTTTCAGGGGTTGGGGAGTGGTGAGATGTGCTGGATTTGGGTGATATTTGTGAGGCAGCAGTGACGGTAGAAATAGAGGATGAGGAAGACTCCGATTCTTCGTAGGAACTAATGGTGGCACTGGTAGCGGCTAACATATTGTTTTGCTCCGAGGCAGAGAGTGGTTGACTCCGGTAGCGTGTGTTTGGAAGGTCTTTCTTCCTTTTCTTGTTAGTGTGGCTAACACTTATGGTGGGTGAGCAGCACTAGTGAGAGCACTTCAGGTTGTTAGCCTTAATACTGGCTATATGTGGAGTAGATTTAGATTGTAGGTAGATAGACGAAAACACTATATCAAATCTTTACAATTAGACACCTAGTCCTGATAAGGACTGTTTGAACACAAAGAAAAAACTCTAAAATGCGGACAGGCGAGAAAGCACTTCTTTACTCAGTGAAATCCGAACTCTGAATGACATGCACAGTAATGGTTGAGATGCTATTTATATTATAGAATTGGATTGAACAACAGTTTTTGTATGAATTAAATTAAGCTGATGAAGAGTAACGTTTATCAATTTTATATGAATCAGTTACAAATCATAATTAGGTTAAGGATTAATAAAACAATATTATCTTTTCAATTTTAACATCAGTTAGTTATTGTTATTTATGCTTACTACAATTAACCTTATTCATCCCTCAGAAGAACTGGTGAATCAACAAGCTAGGCTTATAGTTTCCAGAGCAGGTCAAGTGAACACAGCTTCAACAGGAGATTGCGTCAGTAATTCTAAGAACTTATGTGTGAAAGTAATAAATAATGAATAAAAAATATGTCAACCACACTATATCTGTTATATCCAGTACTGACGATACCTTTCATCTATTATTATCATGGCTCATCATCCTATGCACTGATTATGTCAACCAGCTGCAATATTACATTTAAGCATCAATAAAAGTTTAAGCTCATTCGTGGTTTGTTTAAACAAGGTGTATCAATGTATATTTTTTAAGTTTTGCTTAAATATTCTCGAGGATAGCTGTGCTAACCATTCCCTATTTTGAAGAGATAGACTAGAGGGAAGGCAGGTAGTCAACGCCACTCACCACAAACTCTTGCCCTACTCTTTAACAACAAATAGTAAAACTGACCATCATGTTTTAATGCGACTTTTTAAAGTCAACTTAGAAAAATAGTAGACATTATCACAGGGACCATAAAAATTTCAGAAAATGTACTCTGAACAAGAGGGAATCTTCAATAGTCGTGGCACTTGAAATTATTTTAGGCAAGATTAGAGTAAATTAATCTATGAGACCTTTTTTTTTTTTATTAGGTATATTTTTGTGTGCCATCAATACCAAGCGTGGGGTGCACTTATACCCGATTAGATTTTATTACTCATCATGATCTCTGCTAGCCTACCCTCAAATTGAAATTCTTTTAAGCAGAATTAGAGCAAATTAATCCATGAGACCTTGGGCGTGGTCAAATATATCAACCAAAAGGGTTTGACCTACTGAATTCAAAACTGTAATTAGATATCAAATTGATCAACAGTTGTGGGAGCTATGAGCTAAAAGTTTGCACTTGAAAAAAACAAAAAATCTCAGAACTGTTCTATGAGCCGCTATGCCGCGCTAAAAATAATTGTATTCACAGGTGTAAATAAGTAGAAGCATGTTGCACTGCAAATAAACACCACCAAAAGCCTTTTTGGTAATAGCCGAATGATGGAGTAGCAGGTGTAGATACAGTGGGAGCTGCAAGTTGCAGACCTGTGCATAAGTGGCTCAAGGCATGTAGTAGCCCTTCGCTAATGTTCAGCAGCAGTCTGAATGACTAAGCAGCCCTTCTTGGCATGATGAAGGTACTAGAAAAGAGTCCTAAAAATTGCCTGATGGAGATTCAACTTTGCGACCAAAATAACAAAAATTAGGACAAAAAATCTTCAAACCACTGAATGTAGGACACTAAGGGAAAGTGATAATAACCAGTGTTCAGAACAAGGTACTGCTCTGGTTGGCAAAAAACTTGCATACTACAACATTCACATCACAGCTCTGAGTAAAACATGTCTTACAAAAGACGGTCAGCTGAAAGAACCTGCAGCTGGCTACATGTTCTTCTGGAGTGGTCTTAGTGCCGAAGAATGGCGAGAGTCAGGGGTTAGCTTTCTTGTCAAATATAGTATCGTCAGTTAGTTGGAAAGTTTACCTCAGGGTATAAATGACCACCTCCTGACCTGGAGACTGCCTCTTGCTGGTAAGTGTCATACACCTATCATCAGTGCATATGCTCCAACTATGATCAATCCAGATGAAGTCAAATCCAGATTTTATGAGGATTTGGATCACTCCATCTGTCAGGTACCAAAGAAAGACAAATTTGTCCTTCTTAATGATTTCAAGGCTCATGTTGGGTCAGAACAGAAAACCTAGCTAGGCATCATAGGCATGCAAAGCATTGGTAAGTGCAACAGCAATGGTCCATTCCACTGAGGAAATGCACTGATCACAATCTTATCATTACAAATACACTATTCTAGCAAATACAAACACGACATTATGGATGCATCCTTTTTCTAAACATTGGTATCTAATAGATTACTTCATTGTCAAGAAGATCAACAATCAAGATGTTAGAGTTACAAATGCCATTAGGAAAGCAGAATATCAAACAGGCCGTCATCTCATTCTTTCAAAATTCAACACTTATGTAAAACCAACTATAAAACCCAAGGGTAAAACACACCAAAAAGGCTGGATGTCAGTAAACATAAAACATCCGGTGGGACAGCGGTAAGTCTTCAGATTTGCAATGCTAAAACCAAGGGTTTGATTGCCCTCAGTAGACACAGCAGATAACCTGATGTAGCTTGGCTATAAGAAAATACACACACACACCCACACACAAAACAATGTCTTGCTGAATCTATAGACTCCCATCTCTGCACAACCAAAACATACCATGATGATGTTGAGTCTGACTAGATCAGCTTCAAAGAGGTGGCTCATACTGAAGCCTTGGAAATCCTATACTAAACAGCTTGTAAATATCAAGATTGATTCCACAAAAAAGAGTAAGACATTGAAACCTGCCCTATTACAAGAGAAACTCCGCTTAGAATTGCCCTGGATAAATGACGAATCCTCATCATAACATATGCAAGACAGTTCAAACTAAACTTAGAACCAATGTTGGAGTGACAAAGCTGCTGAACTCCAGTTTTTCTCTAACAGCAGCAACATTAAGCAGTTCTATGTCTCACTCAAGACAGTGTATGCTCCCCAGTCTGCAGACTCTTTGCCTATGATTAATCCATATGAATCAACCTTCTTGAGTGACAAGACCAAATTCCAGAGAGATGGGCTGGCCACTTTAACACTCAATGAACAGGGAATCAACTACCAGCATTCAAGCCATTGGTGAACTCCTTCAGCCTTCTATAACTGAAGTTATTGCTAAGGAACCTACTATTACTGAGACTAAGAAAGAAAGTATTGGAGATATTATCCAAATGGCAAAGCACTTGGTTATGATGCAACCCCAGCCAAAATATATAAGGCTGGTGAAAATAACCTTACATGTTGCCTGATGGAGTTACTCCAGCAGACATGGATCCAAGAAAAGTTCCCTCAGGAATACAAGGATGACTCAATTGTTCATTTGTACAAGAAGAAGGGGAATTGATACACCTGTGACAACTATTGGGGTATCACTTTGCTGGGAATCACTGAAATGATACTCACCATAATAATAATGCTGAACTATTTCATAAAACACATATTAGAAGAGTTCACACCAAACAGTCAATGTAGCTTTAGGAAAGGAACAGGAACAATGGAGATAATTTTTTGCAGCCAGACAGATCCAGAAAAAGTGCATAGAACAAAACACTGGCGTCTACTGAGAAGGGACAAGTTGTGGGAGATCTTGGCAAAAGTTGGCTGTCCAAACAAATTCATTAATAATATAAAACACTTCCATGATGGTATGATGGCCATATTATTGGAAGAGGTGAAAGATCAAAGCTCTTTCCTGTGGCAAATGGTGAAAATCAGGTCTGTGTTCTTGCACTGACATTCTTCAGTGTTCTATTTGCAGCTATTTTTTTAAATATCTTCAAAATCGTTGACACTGGAGTATGGATCAGGCTTAGAATGAATAGAAAGTTGATAAATCCCAGGAGACGGCAGGCCCAGACTAAAGTCTTCGTGTTGTTGCGTCAGGGGGTCACGTGACTATTGTCACGCCGCCTATTTTCTGGAAGTATCTTGTTCCTTCGTGAATGCCCTAGCATTTACTAGATATATGTTTTTCTGGTATATAAATAGGACGCTCACAACGTGACAATAATGTGTGTGTGTAGACAGTGAGTAATTGAACTGCAGTCAGAGAGAGACGTATTGTTGAAGTTAAGTGTATCGTAAAGTTATATTCGGAAAGAATAAACCAGTTTTATTAAGTAAGGACTTGTGTCGCTAAAGTTTCGTCGGAAAGTTAATTAACAAACGGAGACGTAACAGTGTGTAAACAGTTGTTTGTTAGTGATTGTGGCCTAGTAGCTCAATCCCAGGAGGACATGCTCTCATTATGATATAACCATCAAGTTGAAAAGGACAGAAGTTCTGTATCAACCAGCACTAAGCAAATCTTACATCTTTGAGGTGGTAGACAAGTTAACTTACTTGGAGAGCATGCTGTCAAGAGAATCCACCATTGATGAAGAAATTGTCAACGAGATTGCTAAAGCAACCAAAGCCTTTATAAGGCTTTGGAAACACCTCCTGAACCAAAAAGGCGTCACTTTACAGACCAAGTTAAAATTCTATAAATCCATAGTCATCTCATCTCTGTTTTATGCATGTGAGTCTTGTACAACATACATATCCCATAACTGAGTCTAATCGGCTTCTCTAAAATCGAGAACATACAACACTTACTAGCTCAGTAATTGGGCCCAACTTCCAAATACAATAATTATTGATAATAGAGATATTATCTATAATAACAAATTGCTCTTGCACAACTGCGTTTCTAAGAATATTATTTTCACTAATATCAACAATCTTGTAAAAATGAATCATTTTCAGTTGGCGTTTTGATACGAGTGAGGAAACAGATCCCGTAATTTTAACCGATTATTCAGACTAACAGAAATAGTGAATTTATCTGTAATGTATTCCAAAAATCAATATATCCCATAACAATAGTAGCAAAACTAAGTACCTTGTATATACCTATTAGTTGTGTACGTAGTTTTTAAAAGCAGACCATCACGCGACATTTCACACAAAGCTTCAAATTGAAGTTTACAAAACATTTCCTAACAGACACTATGGTGACGCATTGCCTTCTCTAATCTTCTAATGTATTAAGACTAAGTGTCCAACATGAATACGAAGGCTTACGGCGCCGGTTTAGCTGGAGGTCAATTTGATCCTATTACTTTTGTTCAGAGACCTCAAGTCATTTTAAGAGTGCTGTGTTGGGTAGGGTATTCTTTGCTTAAATGATTTTTATATAAAAATATTAACTATAAGTGGTACCAAGAAATATAACATCCATTGATTATATCGTAAGGATAAGGCTTAACCCTAAGTTAGATAACCAAGTCAAGACTAACGAGTAACACTAACGTGTGTATATATATTAGTTTTACTAACAGTAACACTGTTGTTAACAGTAATACTAGTGTTAGTAATATCACTACACAAGTAATATTGAAATGTAGAATGTGTTGTTTTGGCGCTTCAACAGTTCAAGCAAAAATCCAGTTATCTATCTGTATATATATATATATATATAAGAGGAAGTTTGTTTATTTTGTTCGCTATAGGAAACCAAACGGTTGAACTTACAAATTTTAAAATAACTTCATAATAACCAGTTTTTTTACAGGATATTTAATGGTGCTGTTTATTTTGTATTTGGTGTAGTATTTAATGACGAAATTGACAATTAATGATTATTGCTCCATTTTTTTATAATAAACATACAAACATAAGCACGTTTTGCACATAGAAAGTGTTATGGCAGGAGACACTCAGATCACCTTGCTGTCAATTCAGTATTTCCTAAAAAGTTTCTTTAAATAGTGC